CAATAAGATACCCAGATGTTTGCACATGTGTCTTACTCTCATTTTGTCGGTATTATATACCATTCGTACACAACTTGTCAGACACTGCAACATCATGGAATCTTAATTCTGAGGACCATGTCACATAAACCTTCACGACTACGACAACTACTACTACAACTAACCCATCTCTTTGGGAAGGACCTACTTCCACTGGGGAATCCCGCCTACCAGTGAATATGCCCTCGTCTGCTACACCTGACGTTACTATATAAGCGCCAGGATCCTTTCTTCTCCTTCAGAATCTCCACGACTATGGTGCTGTTCGCACCTACTCCAAGGTTGAGGGACTGATTACCTCATCTTCTGTACATAGTTCTACTGTCTTCAAGTTATGTCCTAGAATTTGTATTGATAAAGCCACTGGATGGCGAAACGTCTACAATAAAGATACCCAGATGTTGCACATGTGTCTTAATCTCGCCCTACAAGGGCTGGGCATGGTGTCGATGTATTATGAGTTTATTCCATCTTAAAATATAATCAAATAACTTGAGATTTTTGTTAAACTACAAGACAATAATGTATGTTATTATTATTATTATTATTATTATTTTAGAATTAAAGGTCGATACAAAGGTGATATATATAAATGTAAAGATCAATTTTGTACATTATATAAATAAACAAAGATGAATTTCCGTTACAAGATTAATTAAGCAGTTGAGTCCCCCCCCCCTTCCTCTCTCTCTCTCTCTCTCTCTCTCTCTCTCTCTCTTTCTCTCTCACACACGCACAATAGGACGATAAAAATCAAACTACAAAAGGGGGGACTACACAGGCATGAGGAACTTCCTGCAAGACATTGAGTGTGAGAGAGAACTGGCAGGAACACCAGTAAAAGAAATGATGGACTATGTGACAACAAAGTGCAAAGAGGCAGAGGAGAGGTTTATTCCCAAGGGTAACAGAAATAATGTGAAGACCAGAACGAGTCCTTGGTTCACCCATAGGTGTAGGGAGGCAAAAACTAGGTGTACTAGAGAATGGAAAAGGTACAGAAGGCAATGAAGAGATTAGCCGAAGAGCCAGAAACGAATATGCACAGATAAGGAGGGAGGCTCAGCGACAATACGAAAATGACAAAGCACCGAAGTGAAGTCTGACCCGAAGCTGTTGTATAGCCACATCAGGAGGAAAACAACAGTCAAGGACCAGGTAATCAGACTGAGGAAGGAAGGTGGCGAGTTCACATGAAACAACCAAGAGGTGTGTGAGGAGCTCCACATGGGATTTAAAGAAGTATTTACAGTGGAAACCGGTAGGACTCCAGGAAATCAGAAAAGTGGGGTACACCAACAAGTGCTGGATGAGGTACACATAACCGAGGAGGAGGTGAAGAAGCTGCTATGTGAACTTGACACCCCAAAGGCGGTGGGATCAGGCATCTCTCTGTGGGTCCTTAGAGAGGGAGCAGAGATGCTGTGTGTGCCACTAACAAAGATCTTCAACACATGCATTGAAACTGGGCAACTCCATGAGGTATGGAAGATGGCAAATGTAGTCCCAATTTTTAAGAAAGGAGACAGACATGAGGCATTAAACTACAGACCTGTGTTACTAACGTGTATAGTATGCAAAGTCATGGAGGAGATCAGGAGCAGAGTGGTGGGGCACCTGGAAAGAAACAAGTGTATAATCGACAACCAGCACGGTTTCAGGGAAGGAAAATCCTGTGTCACAAACCTACTGGAATTTTATGACAAGGTGACAGAAGTAAGACAAAAGAGAGAGGGGTGGATAGACTGCATTTTCTTGGACTGCAAGAAGGCCTTCAACACAGTTCCTCACAAGAGGTTACTGCAAAAGCTAGAGGATCAGGCACATATAACAGGAAAGGCATTGCAATGGATCAGAGAATACCTGACAGGGAGGCAACAACGAGTCATGGTACGTGACGAAGTGTCAGAGTGGGCGCCTGCGACAAGCGGGGTTCCACAGGGGTCAGTCCTAGGACCTGTGCTATTTTTGGTATGTGTGGATGTCATAACGGAAGGGATAGAGTAGAAAGTGTCCTTGTATGCAGATGATGCGAAGTTAATGAGGAGAATCAAATCGGTCGAGGATCAGGCAGGACTACAAAGAGATCTGGACAGGCTACAAGCCTGGTCCAGCAACTGGCTCCTTGAATTTAATCCTGCCAAATGCAAAGTCATGAAGATTGGGGAAGGGCAAGGAAGACCGCAGACACAATATAGTTTAGATGGCCAAAGACTGCAAACCTTACTCAAGGAAAAAGATCTGGGGGTGAGTATAACACCGAGCATGTCTCCTGAGGCGCACATCAATCAGATAACTGCTGCAGCATACGGGCGCCTGGCAAACCTTAGGATAGCGTTCCGATACCTCAGTAAGGAATCATTCAAGACTCTGTACACCATTTACGTCAGGCCCATACTGGAGTATGCAGCACCAGTTTGGAATCCACACCTAGTCAAGCACGACAAGAAATTAGAGAAAGTGCAAAGGTTTGCAACAAGGCTAGTTCCAGAGCTACGGGGAATGTCCTACGAAGAAAGGTTAAGGGAAATCGGTCTGACGACACTGGAGGCCAGGAGGGTTAAGGGAGACATGATAACGACATACAAGATATTGCGAGGAATAGATAAGGTAAACAAAGACAGGATGTTCCAGAGATGGGACACAGAAGCAAGGGGTCACAATTGGAAGTTGAAGACTCAGATGAGTCAAAGGGATGTTAGGAAGTATTTATTCAATCATAGAGTTGTCAGGCAATTGAATAGCCTAGAAAGTGACGTTGTGGAGGCGGGACCCATACATAGTTTTAAGACGAGGTTAGATAAAACTCATGGACCAGGGAGAAAGAGGACCCAGTAGCAATCAGTGAAGAGATGGGGCCAGGAGCTATGACTCGACCCCTGCAACCACAAGGAGGTGAGTGCACACACACACACACACACACACACACACACACACACACACACACACACAACACACACACACACACACACACACAAAACACGTTATAACAACATATGTTATAAGGAGTTGGTTGTTATTATTACAGACTCCGATATAACGATCTTATAACAACGTGGCTAAAGATGACCTTCAGAGGAACGTTGCTATTAAAACCTCATCTCATTTATAAGATTTTTAAATTAAAGATTCGCCAGTATTCTCCCGGCCCGGGCCTTTTCCAAGTGGTGGCCCGGCCTTGGCTCCCTCTTTAGAGAGTGTCTGAGACCTAAGTCTCCCATGGGAGGAGACACTAGTACCTCCTCATCTTTGGGATCAACTGTCCCCAGGCCTAGCCACAAGCTAGGCCTCTGTGGTCTGCCATCCCATCCCCCAAGGGGACTAATGGGAATGACAGTCTTGTGAGCTACAAGCTCTAGCTCAGGTACCTACCCTACCCTAGAAGGGCTAGGCATGGTGTCGATGCATTTATAAGATAGTGTTGTTCTGTTTAATAATAGTTTTACCTTGTTTTATAATATAGTTTTACCATGTTTAATAATAGTTTTACCCTGTTTTATAATGGTTTTAACTTGTTTTATAATGTGCTTCACAATGTTCTATAATAGTCAGAGTGTGTTATGTAGTAGTCAGAGTGTGTTATGTAGTAGTCAGAGTGTGTTATGTAGTAGTCAGAGTGTGTTTGTAGTAGTCAGAGTGTGTTATGTAGTAGTCAGAGTGTGTTATGTAGTAGTCAGAGTGTGTTATGTAGTAGTCAGAGTGTGTTATGTAGTAGTCAGAGTGTGTTATGTAGTAGTCAGAGTGTGTTATGTAGTAGTCAGAGTGTGTTATGTAGTAGTCAGGGTTGTGTTATGTAGTAGAGTGTGTTATGTAGTAGTCAGAGTGTGTTATGTAGTAGTCAGAGTGTGTTATGTAGTAGTCAGAGTGTGTTATGTAGTAGTCAGAGTGTGTTATGTGTTGTGTTAGAGAAGGGTCTTCCCTGCCACTATCAGTATATTTCAGAAAATCATTTTTTGTTGGTGAAATACTGATAAATGGTGATGCTGTCCTCCACTTTACCTCTCCTATCTCCCTCTTATTTTATGTTTTATCCTCCCCTACTCATTAATTTTATCTCCCTCCCTTTCCTATTTTCCTTCGTTGGTCACTCCATCTTCATCGTATCTTTTATCTCTTGTCTTTCTCTGTCTCTTCCTTCATTTCCTTTTCTTTCTCATATGTCTTTCGTTGCCTATCCAACTTTCTTCATCTTCCGTCTTTCTATAAATCTTCACCTTCATCTCTACTTACCCCCCCCCCCTCTCTCTCTCTCTCTCTCTCTCTCTCTCTCTCTCTTATCTATCTATCTATCTATCTATCTATCTATCTATCTATCTATCTATCTCTCCTTTGCTATAGCGAAAAGTCTTTTACTTCAACAATTTCAGCTGAGACAATTTAACACACCATCTGGGAGACGTTAATATGTGTAGTGAGTTCGAACGAGTTCTTCCTCTTAGCTGTGCCTCTTCTCCCTATTCTCCAGCCTCTCTCCCTGCTCCGGGAACGGGCCGAGGGATCGCTAAGCCCCCAGTGATATCCCTCTTCCTCTCTCCCCTCCCCGTCATTAATTAATGTTAGTTCTAACAGCAGCCACCAACGGACATCACCCAAGTTTAACGCAGAACTTTGTTTCGTAATGATACGGAAGCGAAGTATTTTTGTTTTCACTCCTTCGAATTTACAGGCTAAGAGCTGTTGCCTTACCTCAGCTCTGTTGTCATCCTACTTTAGCTCATTTAAAAACTATGAGCTGTTATCCTACCTTAGCTCCCAGGATTAAAGCTGGGAGTTTCTACGCCAGGAAGCGACCCACAACAGTCGCCAAACACCCAGATACCTATTTACTGAGAGGTGAATAGGGACAGCAGGTGTAAGGTGATTAACACCCAGGTACCTACTTACTGATAGGTTGACAGGGATAATATGTGTAAGGTGACTAACACTTAGGAGGTGTTGGAGGATATGAGGAAGTGACTCACCTGATACTCTGAGGGAGAAGTGGAGGGATTGTTGGAGGACATGGTGTTGAGGGATAGGAAGACCTCGCTGGGTTGTACACCTGGAGTGGAGGCTGGAGTGGCTCCGAAGTTCCCCAGAGATGCAGTTTTGGAGGAGCAAGGCGCTGACGGGGAGAGAAACACGAGTGAGCAACATCACTAGTGCTGGATACCAGGGCTTACTATACCCACACTGCTGAAGAACAGCCAATACATACCTACAAGATTTCCAGCACCTGGAAGAGAGCTCAGTACCTGGAAGAGAATTCAGTACATGGAATAATATTTGCACATCTTATTGACATTCCAGAACTTAGATCCCCGGAATTATAAAATAACTCAGTTTACTATATTCTTGGTATATTGCAATTTATTTTCACAAAATTGAGTTAGCTGTTTTAACTTTCAAGGTTTAATTAATAAGATATTACAAGATCTCCAATAGAAAAAAGTCACTTAGTCTGACTTTTTTTTATTTATCCTGGGTAGTTTACACTATGCATGATAATTGCATATACGTGTACCTGTGTCTAAATAAACTTACTTAAATACTTTTTACGAGGGCGGAAAGTGCAGCAGACGCTGTAAAATATACCCACTGAAACACAGTTTAAACTGTACAGAAACATTTGACTCGTGACTCTTTAGCACTTTTCCTGCGGATACAAAAGTAGCTTTTGCGATAACGTTTCGCCCTGTATGGAGCTTAATCTCCACAGCGCCTTGCCTATAAAGAGCGAAACGTTAACACAAGAATAGCGTGCTCTACATATGTTTTCTTACTTGTTACAACAAACAACAACAACAACAACAACATCAACAACAACAACAACAATAGCATTTGTGAATTCAAATCTCGGGTAATAAATTTACTGCATTAACATATTGTACATGCTAAAACAGACATAAATTACGACATATTATCTCATAGATACTTGTGCAACACTTGGGTATCTTTATTGTGAAGACGTTTCGCCAATCAATACCTTATGAATCCAGTACAGAGAATAAACGATGGAAGACGTCAAGACGTGATCAGTGCCTCGGTCTTTAAAGGTGATCAGTGCCTCGGTCTATAAAGAAGGTGATCAGTACCTCGGTCTATAAAGGTGAATCATGTTGTGTCAGCTCGGTCCGTTTAAAGAAGGTGATCAGTACCTCGGTCTATAAAGGTGATCAGTGTCTCGGTCTTTAAAGAAGGTGATCAGTGCCTCGGTCTATAAAGGTGATCAGTGTCTCGGTCTATAAAGAAGGTGATCAGTGCCTCGGTCTATAAAGAAGGTGATCAGTGCCTCGGTCTATAAAGGTGATCAGTGTCTCGGTCTATAAAGAAGGTGATCAGTGCCTCGGTCTATAAAGAGGTGATCAGTGTCCTCGGTCTTAAAGAAGGTGATCAGTGCCTCGGTCTATAAAGAAGGTGATCAGTGCCTCGGTCTATAAAGAAGGTGATCAGTGCCTCGGTCTATAAAGGTGATCAGTGTCTCGGTCTATAAAGAAGGTGATCAGTGCCTCGGTCTATAAAGAAGGTGATCAGTGTCTCGGTCTATAAAGAAGGTGATCAGTGCCTCGGTCTATAAAGAAGGTGATCAGTGCCTCGGTCTATAAAGGTGATCAGTGTCTCGGTCTATAAAGGTGATCAGTGCCTCGGTCTATAAAGAGGTGATCAGTGCTCGGTCTATAAAGAAGGTGATCAGTGCCTCGGTCTATAAAGAAGGTGATCAGTGTCTCGGTCTTTAAAGAAGGTGATCAGTGCCTCGGTCTATAAAGGTGATCAGTGTCTCGGTCTATAAAGAAGGTGATCAGTGCCTCGGTCTATAAAGGTGATCAGTGTCTCGGTCTTTAAAGAAGGTGATCAGTGCCTCGGTCTATAAAGAGTGATCAGTGTCCGTATAAGTGATCAGTGTCCGGTCTTTAAAGAAGGTGATCAGTGCCTCGGTCTATAAAGAAGGTGATCAGTGCCTCGGTCTATAAAGAAGGTGATCAGTGTCTCGGTCTATAAAGGTGATCAGTGTCTCGGTCTATAAAGAAGGTGATCAGTGCCTCGGTCTTTAAAGGTGATCAGTGTCTCGGTCTTTAAAGAAGGTGATCAGTGTCTCGGTCTATAAAGAAGGTGATCAGTGCCTCGGTCTATAAAGGTGATCAGTGTCTCGGTCTTTAAAGAAGGTGATCAGTGTCTCGGTCTATAAAGGTGATCAGTGTCTCGGTCTATAAAGGTGATCAGTGTCTCGGTCTTTAAAGAAGGTGATCAGTGCCTCGGTCTATAAAGGTGATCAGTGTCTCGGTCTATAAAGAAGGTGATCAGTGCCTCGGTCTATAAAGGTGATCAGTGTCTCGGTCTATAAAGAAGGTGATCAGTGCCTCGGTCTTTAAAGGTGATCAGTGCCTCGGTCTATAAAGGTGATCAGTGTCTCGGTCTTTAAAGAAGGTGATCAGTGCCTCGGTCTTTAAAGAAGGTGATCAATGCTCGGTCTTTAAAGAAGGTGACCAGTGTCTCGGTCTTTAAAGAAGGTGATCAGTGCCTCGGTCTATAAAGGTGATCAGTGTCTCGGTCTATAAAGAAGGTGATCAGCGCCTCGGTCTATAAAGGTGATCAGTCCCACGGTCTTGATAACTCTGAGTGCTTGCACACTGCCTCTCAAGTATTAAGATACATGTGCAACAGTGGGTATCTTTATTGATGAAAAGTTTCGCCTACACAGTAGGCGTCTTCAGTCAAATACAAAGGGAACAGTAATAATGAGATAAAGATGATATCCTCAGTCTATCAACCTTGGAGAAAAAGTATTTGAGGTGGACAGTCCCTCAGCCTGGAGAAGAGTTCATCTCTATTTTTAACGACACTTCTCAGGTACTGACCGCCATAACCTACCTCCTCACGTCTTCCACTATTTATTCTCTGTATTGGATTCATAATGTCACTGGTGGGTGAAACGTTTCCACAGTAAAGATGTCTTAGATACGATGTAAATGGTTTAGAAAATCGACAAGTTGATGAGACACATGTGCAATATTTAGGAATCCTTATTACAGCAACGTTTCGTCAGCCAGTGGCTTTCTCAGTCCTTTACAGATGAGTTTGAAGTAATCAGTCCCTCAGCCCGGAGTCGATGTGTTCAGTCCATCAATATTGATAACACTTTTCTCAAGATAGATAGACTGAAGTCATCGACTCCAGGCTGAGGGACTGATTACCTTAACCTCTTTTTCATATTCCTCCGTTTTTCTCAGTAGTGGACTGAAGAAGCCCCTGGCAGGCGAAACGTTTCTGTCATTAAGATTTCCAGATGTTACACATGTCTAGTTCATCTGTTTGTGTGTCACTGTTTCTCGTATCTCCAATTTTAGTCTTCTCTGTATTAGACTGAAGAAGCGATTTTAGAGTTTTCTTTGATTACTCACCAACATCAATTCGCAACATCGATACAGTCACACACGGCATACATTACCCCAGCACACACACACACACACACACACACACACACACACACACAAAGGAAATACACATATGCACAAATCAGGAAAAGGGTGGAGTTTGAACCCATGGCAAGGGAGTCCTAAAATTCAGAGTCCGGTGAGTTAACCACTCAGGGTTCAGAACCCCACCCGTTCCATGATTTATTTGCAATAGTGTAGTTACAGTTTTGTTAGTCACCTGTACATACACGAACCTTTCCAAAACACATACAAATGTAACATGTCTGCCGGTACAAGAAGGCTATGGTGTTGTGTTACTCACTGCTTGTGTTCAGGTGAGTGAATGAGTGATGAGGCTACAGTCACTGATTAAGCATGATACAAAACAGTTACAGGGAGAGTTGAGTAGCTCTAGGCATTTCACGTTGCAGTCAACACAACAGGAGCTTGCAATGTTGCAGGAATGAGTAGGAAGTCCCAGCGGATTTATTTGTTCAGGGGAACAATTCTACCTCGAGCTAGAATCGTCCCCCTGAATATATCTGCTGGGACTTCCTCCTCATTTCTGCATCATTGCAAGTTCTTGATGTGTTGATTGCAACACGAAAGACCTAGAGCTATCATTCAATTCCTCCTGTGGTTATTTTTGCATCTTGTATCGCTTCTTCGCGATAATTGCATCACTGATTAAATAAACGATTTTTTTTACAGGCTAAGAGCTGTTAGTCTACCTCAGTTTATTTCAAAGTCCAGAAATATCTGAGGTATTATACCACCCCAGGATGCCACCCACACCAGTCACTAACACCCAGGTACCTACCTACTTCTAGGTGAACGGGGACAGCAAGTGTCAGAAAACATGACCAGAGGTCATTAACACAAATCATTACGTAAATCGGATACAGTCAAGCCGAAATGCAATAATTCCTAGGAGAGAAAATTAAATTGTTATTGTTATAATCATTTTAAGTGGTAAACCGGAGAGGATCATATAGCGTTGCAGGGAGGGTTGTGAGAGAGCAGGGAGACAAAAGTTGGTACTTCAGTATGTGCAGTGAAGAGTAGCAATTCTGATGCTAAGTGGGATCGTCACCCTTGCATTGGTAGTCTCACACGTTACTTGAGTGATTTATGAGATCTCTGTCACTGATCACAGACACATCTCACAGCCTACTCGTACTCAGGCAAATCAGTCAGTTGTGCAAGAAAGGTATAAAATACCGACAATATGAAAGTTAAGACACATGTGCAACATCTGGAAATCTTTATTGTAGACGTTTCGCCATCCAGTGGCTTTATCAATACAGATTCTAGGACATAATAAGAAGACAGTAGAACTATATACAAAAGATGAGGTAATCAGTCCCTCAGCCTTGGAGTTAGTGTTCACAGCATCGTGGTGGAGGAGAATCTGGAGCAAAGGCAAGAAGACTGGCGGTTATATAGGCGTCAGTGGATAGGGACGGGCAGCAGACGAGGGCAAAGTCACTGGTAGGCGGGATTCCCCAGTGGAAGTAGGTCCTTCCCAAAGAGATGGGTTAGTTGCAGCAGCCGTGAAGAAGGTCTTGTAGATGTCCTCTGAACCAAGATGGCGAAACGTCTACAATAAAGATTTCCAGATGTTGCACATGTGTCTTAACTTTCAAATCAGTGAGTCATTCGTGAAGCCTATCGCTGATCACAGACACATCTCGCAGCCTACTCGTACTCAGGCAAGTCAGCCAGTCATTCGTGTAGCCTCCATCACTGATCATACAGAAAAACTTTGCACAAACTTGTGAATGTTTTTGATGTTCACTGAAGAGAACTTGGCTCCTTCATTAAGTAACCTCGGGACTGCTTCTCATTGATGACTCACTTCAAGTCTCAGTAAGCAGCTTGATCATGTGAATATGCCTCAGTTGGCAGCCAGGTCAATAATCTTCAGCATTACACTTGACTAGTCCAAAGTATGTTGGTAGGCATTTTAACCGGGTCAATAAACTGTATTTTTAAGATGTAAGGCGGTTTCACTCGATCCTGGAAACTTCTCTCTCTCTCTCTCTCTCTCTCTCTCTCTCTCTCTCTCTCTCTCTCTCTCTTACTTCCCGTTCAAGAAAAATGGGAAGTAACAAGTACACTATAATGTCATTGATGTCAGCTGGATCTGCGTAAGTTGTATCATGTATTTCAATAAATTAAGATTATTATTAATTAGCAGTATTATCATCATCAATGGCGACAAGTTGAAGAATAAGACACATGTGCAACACTTGCATTCCAAAGAACTGCACATGTGTCTTTCTCGTCACCACAGCTACATACAACTGGCGTCTCCTTTTAGGTAGAAAATGGTGCAGCTGTGTCGTTGGCTGGCCGCGCCAGCGTCAAGGGAAACATTAATCTTGCATGTTTGTGTATGAGGTTTAGAAATGGGATTTACATCCGTTGTTGTTCTCAGCGGGAAGTAACACACATCCAGTGCTGCTCGAGCTGCCGCCCAAAATAACCTGACTAGACTTATAGCCATTTAGTTCATTCAGGCATTGAAAGGTAATTTTTTAAATTCTTGCAAGTCTAAGTCTTGTGTAAGTCAGTAATTAAAGTTAGCTTTATAATTTTTTTTTGCTTAAGTATTATCTAAGTCATTTGTTATATTTTTATTTAGGTTTAGCTACGTAACATACAAACATTCATTTTTTTAATGATGGTGAGGGTGGACAGATTTTATGGGCACATAAAAAACAATTATGCAATTTATTCCATAGGACAACTCATTAAAGTCAAAAAATGTTATTTATTCATTCAAAATATACATCTGTACTGGGTGACTCCTTAAATTGTGAGAAAAAACTCAGTATATTAAAAATACTTTGCCCTTCGCAAATTAATTTCGAGAAGAGAAAAGGTTACAATACTGGACTTACCGGAAGGGTTCCGATTCATGGCTCTCCGCCGCACGAAGCAGGCGATGATGGAGATATTGAGGACGAGGAGAGCCGCCCCCGTCAGTGTCATGATAAGCAGAATAAGACGAGGTACCCTGGAGGAGCCCTGGCTGGT